ATCGCTTTTGGTCGATTTAAAACATACATTTTTAAATAAAGTATACATTTTTGTAATTGATTGTAACATTTTTGTAATAAAAGATACTAATTTAACCCTCTAAGGGACTAATTATGAAATCACATAAAAATAAAATCACTATTTATTTCTAGAGTATTTAAGGCTAAAATCATTTTCCATAATTTATTTTTTTACAACTGTCCTTTAACATTTGTTTTAGTTTGTCGTCATTTATAACTGAAAGTTAATTCTACTCATTTGGAAAGAGTTTTGAACCCAGTGTTGAAGGTAATGAGTTAATTGAATACCTCGTTACTTCAACTTAAATGGAGTAAGTTCACAGTACTCGTATAAATTAGTTTTTATTACTCACATGGTTTGTAGCAACCGTTTTCCTCAAATGGTTTGAGTTGCCTTAACTTATTGGGTTTTACAGTACTCAGTTGGTTTGAGTTCTCTTCATTTATCAGATTTTACTGTGCTCAAATTGCTCCGTTTACCCAAATGGATTTAGTTCACAGTACTTATTAGGATTAGTTTTTGAACTTAAATGGTCTGTTGCAATCAGTTCCCTCAAATGGTTGGAGTTACCTTAACTTATTGAGTTTTACTGTGTACTACTACTACTACTACTACTACTACTACTACTACTACTACTACTACTACTACTAATAATAATAATAATAATAATAATAATAATAATAATAATAATTATTATTATTATTATTAAAACAATGTTTTGAAATGCAAATCAGAACATTAGAATAATTGCTGAAAGATCATGTGACTGGAGTGTTGGTCCTAAAAAGTCAGCTTTGAAATCGCAGGAATTTAATTACATTTCAAAATATATTCGAGTAGTAAACAATTATTTGAAATAGTAAAAATATTTTGTAATTTTTGTAATATTTTTGCTGTACTTTGGATCAAACACAGGCTTGATTGGTGAGCAAAAGAGACTTCTAACTGTCCCAAAACCTTTAACCAACAATGTATATTTGACATATTCTATATTATTATTATAATGTTTATATTTTTATATTTCTTTTAAAATATAAAATGTATCATACACAGATAAATATATCATATCCTATACAATCCCATACAAGATCAAGTGGATTATGAACTTAAAAAAGTTAAAAAGGGAAGCAGATCTTTTGTTTCCTTTTCTGGTCCTGTTGGAAGTCTGGTGGGAATTATGTTGCTGTATTGTCCGCCGGGGTGGATAACTGTGTCCTCAGAGCTGAAGTGGAAATGACAGAGAGTTCAGCGGCGACTCGTCTCTGTTCTGAAAGCCCAGCTGGTGTGTGCTAAATCTGCTGTGTGAAAAGGCCTCTCCATGCCCTTTTGTGCAGCACTCCAGCGCTCGAGCTATTCTGCCGTTTCTGTGTGTGTGTTAGGGACCCCAGTCTGACGGATGTTAACACTCAGACAGGGTAAATTAAAGCTGAGAGCTGGGGAAAGTAATCATTGCTTTTCTCTCTGTTCATATTTACTTTAGACTGTATCTACATGTCCTTACTCTTATAATACTTGAAAAGCCACAGTAAAGAGGCCTTGATTATTGGATATGGGGTTTAAGAGAGCTTACTTATGTTGTGAAATTTTGTTAGTCTTTTACCAAGCTATTCGTTTAAATTCATTTTGGTCAAATTCGAAGGCACTTTTTTAATTGTGCTTAATTTCTTATGCACTTTTGATTACACATCAGTTCAATTCTGCAATAATGTGGTTGCTAAGTTGCTTGGCATTTAGTCTGATGATCTATGTTACTTGCAATGTAAAAAATATGATCAATGAGTCCTGACAGCATATGTTTTTAATTTATTAAACTAAGTCAACCATGTTCTAACCTTATTTTATAAGTTATGCAAGCTGTTTTAATTCTGTTTAATATAATATGGACTCATAAGGTCATAAGGTTAATTTCATTCAGCTTAAAAAGGCAACCAGGTTTTTTTTTTTTTTTTTTTTTTTTACATGACTGCATTGTTTGTGTCTGATTTTAATACATTTATAAAAATTAGTATTACTGTTATGTAGGTTTTACAAAATGCTTTACAAAATGTTACTCTTTACTAATGATAGAATGTTATTATTTAACCCTTCTTTTAGGAATTTATGCAACCTGTCAAATCAAATGTGTGATGAGCTATTGTTTCAAAATTCAAAATGAAATTAAGATATTAATACGCCTCTGGCATTAGTGGTACTATTTTGTGTTTTAGAGTAAGACAATGTTGTCACAATGTAGGCCTATTCTTTAATTTTTTTTTTTTTTTTTTTTTAATAATTGCAATATACTCAGAATTTTGATAAAATCATAATAATCTGACTAGTTAAAATGATCAGAATTTGGCCTATGAAATCTGAATTAAAGAGATATTTTAAGAAAATCATATTTTAATCAACGCAATCTCAAGGCCATTTGTAACTTTTTGATTTAGTGGTTAATTCCTATGAATTCGTACGATCTAATTTGTACAATTTTGTACGATTTGCTCATCACCCAATGAGGGTTGGGGTTAGGGGTGAGTTGGGTGCCACGCGACCTTTTTAAAATCATACATTTTTGTAAGACTGAACTCCACTAAACGGACAAAACGTGAAAAAAAATTGTTTGGATTTACTTTAAAGCAATACTATTGAAAAGTGTAAAGTTTACAAAGCTAATGCAAGTGAAATACAATGAAATTATAAAGTGAAAATGTTGTCAATAATTATAATTATAAATAATTATTCAAAGTATTTTTCAATATATAATGATTTTTTTTCTATTACATTGTGTCATCTGTGTTTAATGTTCCTGGAATGTTTACTGCAAGTAATTTGTTAAAATAAAACTAGACTTCATGTCTCATTCTGTACTATGCATGATTTACCAGTTTACCCCATTCTACGTTTAAAAAGTCTCCAAAATTATCCACTTTTTGGTCATTGTTTTTGTAAAATCACTTTATTCTGGCTTTGTGGTGTGTTTACTTTTTGACTCTTTCTTCATAAATGCGTCACATGACAGCAGCATCATGGTTTACGATCAAAAGATCATGTTAACCATGTAAACAGATGCTCTCAACCTTTAAAATGAGCACTATATGGCATTATATGAGTCATTACATCAACACTGAAAGCTGCTTCATCTGCTCGGAGGGCTATAAAATCATATCCAGCTACATTAGCAGGAATATCTTGGTTGCCAGAGAGCATATAACTTTGAAGTCCTAAATGTGTTCATCCCAGCATTAAGATGTCTGTCACATCGGTAGTGAAAAGCTGATCTGAAATCTGCTTTTTCCACAGGGTGCTTTGAGAATTTTTGGTTTTGTTTGCACAGTTTAGCTATTTGACAGTAATTTTGCTCTAATAGGGCCTAATTAGGGATTTTTACACATCTGTGATTCTGCACTGAATGATTCAGGCATACATATTTTATTCAAAAGAATTAACAGACCTGCTCAATGAATGTAATGTCTCCATTTTTTTCTTACACTTCACGATGCTTTACTTGAATCACGGGAGTAATTTCTGTTAATTGTTCACATCAATTTTTCTAGAAAACATTATCAGCCCTCCTGTGAAATGTGAAATCTGTATTGAAATGCTTTCCAAGTGGGGGGCAGCATGGTTGCTCAGTGGTTAGCACTGTTACCTCACTGCAAGAAGGTCGCTGGTTCGAGTCTGGGCTCGGCCAGTTGGTATTTCTGTGTGGAGTTTGCATGTTCTCCCCGTCTTGGTGTGGGTTTCCTCTGGGTGTTCTGGTTTCCCCCACAGTCCAAAGACATGTGCTATAGGTGAATTTGGTTAACAAAGTTTGCCATAGTATACGAGTATGAATGTGAGAGTGTATGGGTGTACTGGGTTGCAGCTGGAAGGGCATCCAACTGTGTAAAACATATGTAATAATAATTGGCGGTGTGTATAATAAATCAACTCATGTACAGAATAACATATCCCTATGTACAAATCTTCAGGATACAGAAATGAATAAAACTATCAAGTCTGATGTACAGTAAGTGCTGATGAAGTGGAGATTTATTAATGTATTTTCAGAAAACACTATTTTAAAAAATTTATTATAATTACAACTGATTGAATGAAATACTTGCCAGTCCATTCCACTGTGGTGACCCGTGATAAATAAGGAACTAAGCCGAAGGAAAAAGAATGAATGAATGCTGAATCCCAAGTGCTGTTTAACAGAGCAAGGAGAATTTTCACAGTATTTCTTGTAATATTTTTCTTCTAGAAAATAAGTAATGTTTCTTTTCGATTGGCTGGAATAAAATTTAAAAAATTGAACAGCTGCTAAGGTGAATGTTATTGGTCCTTTTTTATGTATTTGTTTTTCAATTGGCTACAGAGCAAACCAGTTTTACAATGACCTCTGTAATTAACCCAATGAAGCCTTTGTATTGCATTAAGCTAAATACTAGGCATCATTTCAAAGACAAAAAAAATAGAATTAGAATATAAGGTGTTTAGTAGTTTTTTTGTTATTAATAAGGGACACAACACGTGAAGCTGTGCGTGTGTGTATGTGTGCTCTCTCTTCTCCCGACTGCTGCTTCTCCTTTCCTTAAGAAGGGTGTCTCTCTGGCCCAATCACTAGAACAAACAGGTGTTATTCATTGCTACTGAATGACCCGCTGACTAGCCACTGGGCTCCGAGCAAGTTCTCCCTCTTATTGGGCGTTCGATCATGCTTGCCTCTCCAAAATTACTATTAAAAATTTTATGTTTAAAAATGTCTTGGAAAAAAACATTTTCTCCTTTAAATAGCACTTATACTTATATTTGAAATATTTGAAAAGGAATAAAAATTTCTCACAAGCCTAATAATAATTCAACTGTCTATGAATGATTTGCTTGAGTCCTTCTGAATGCAAGTTCACCAAACCCATAATTTCACATGAAGTAGTCACTGCATGAAAAAGAGAATATTGAGAACTCAAAATCTCACTTCACCTCCACCATGTATCCTTTTCTTTCTCCGCCTCTCTATTTTTCCCCCTCTCCATCTCTCAGTCCCTACGGATGCTTTCGGTTTGCTCCAGGAAATGTGTTAACCCCTTTGTATGGTGACAAAGGGGTGTGTTAATCTCACCGAGTTAGGAGGCGGCACATGGGGGTGGATGCCAGGGAGAGTGTGCGTGTGTATGTGTGTGAGGCAGATGCCTGTCAGAGTGTTCACCGGCCACACACATGCTGCACGAGCCAGAAAATGCTTTGCAAAATACACACTTGATACACTACGTGTGACCAGGAAAGACCGCTACTGATTTACTGCTCTAATAAGGTAACAGCGCCTTGACTCTTAAAGGTACTTGGGTTTTTCACATGTAGAATGACTCATTGTTTGGTTTGTTCTCTGTGGTTTGATATTTTTTGTATTTATTGAGATGACATTTGGGTTTTCACACCATGTGGGTCAAAGTTGCAGCTCCAGGGTGAACTATTTCCTTTCACCTTTTTGACTGGGTTTGTGTGTCTCCAGTTCTCATTTTGTGCATTGCGCCGTACACACCTGGTATCAGCTTTCCTGTGAAAACCAGTCAGATTTGTCTTTGTGTGTGTGCTGATTTGTTTATTGTGAGGCCACAGAGCGTGCAGATGGGATGTCAGGATGTGTACAACTCAAAGAAAAGGTTTTCGATAGTGCGTGTGTGTGTGTGTGTGAGTGTGTTTATAACTTGGAAAATCTGAGAAATCGATTTTATTGACCTGCTTGTGGTGTGTTTCATATATAAATTTATGCATTTACAAATGTAGGTAGATAGAAGGAAGTATTGTGGATAGCTTAACTGGTTTGATGAATGGATGGATGGATGGTTGGATGGATGAATTGATGGATTTAGCAGAGATTTTGAATTGATGGATTGATGGATAGAATTGGAAAACAACTGTATGTATGGATAAATAAAAAAAACACACTGAAAAAAATTATTCAAAGATGATTCCTTGGATTTACTCAATTTTTTTAAGTTAAGTGGTTCTAAACAATTTATTTGTGTTGAATTTAAACAAAAACAAATTAAGTTGAACATTATTAAACTTAATTTGTTTGTTTAAATTTAACACAAATAAATTGTTTGCAACAGTTCTGCATGCAAAACTTTTTTCAGTGCAGGTAAATGGGCTGACATTCACACATTTACTCATGAATTAATGGATGGTTGAAAATAATTGAAATCTAAATAAATGGATGGGTAGAAAAGGATAGATAGATGGATGGACGGACGGACGGACGGACGGACGAATAGATGGATGGATGGATGGATGGATAGATAGATGATGGATGGATGGATGATGGATGGATAGAGGAGAAGAGTGTATGGATGGATGGAACATTTATGTATGAATGAATGAATAGCTCATATACGTCTGGATAGATAAATAAATTGATGGATGGATGGATATGTAGAAAGATTGATCTGTTTATCTATGGATTAATGTCTCCATCCATCCACCTAGAAAAAGAAAAGATGAAAAATTTTACTGGATGGATAGTTGGAAGAAAATTATGGAAAAATAAGAATAGGAGGATTATGAGATGACGGAATAATAAATGGATGTATTATAGATGGGTTGATGAAAAATGGACTATAAATGCATGGATTAATAGGCATTTTAGATAAAAAAAAATTGATGGATGAATGGATATGTGGAAGGATTGATTTGTTTATATATGGATTAATCTCTCCATCCATCCACCTAGAAAAATAATGGATGAAAAATTGAACTGGATGGATGGATGGATGCTAGATGGAAGAAAACAATGGAGAAATAAGATTAGGAGGATTGTGAGAGATTATAGATGCATAAAAACAAAACATTATGGATATGGATTGACTGATAATAAACAGACTATCAATACAAAGATGAATGCATTAGTATTTATCTATGTTTCCATTCATCCATATAGATAGATAGATAGACAGACAGACAGACAGACAGACAGACAGACAGAGATAGATAGATAGATAGATAGATAGATAGATAGATAGATAGATAGATAGATAGATAGATAGATAGATAGATAGATAGATAGATAGATAGATAGATAGATAGATAGATAGATAGATAGATAGATAGATAGAGGGGAAAATAGTTTATGGATGAATGGATGAAATATTGCACTGGTAAATGCATGAATGGATGGATTCATTAATAAATGGACGGGTGAATGAATTAGTATTTGGCATTTGTCTATTTATCCATTCATCTAGATTGATAAATGGAGAAGAAAATAGTATTATGGATGGATGGATGAATAGCTAATATATGGCTGGATAGATAGATAAATAAATTGCGGATGAAGGGATATGTGGAAGGATTGATCTGTAATTTTTGGATTAATCTCTCCATCCATCCACCTAGAAACAGAATGAATGGATGAAATATTGAACTGGTGAATGCATGAATGGATGAATAGATGAATAAATGGATGGGGGAATAAATAAGTGAAATGATAAATGATGGACGGATAGATAGATAGATAGATAGATAGATAGATAGATAGATAGATAGATAGATAGATGGATGGATGGATGGATGGATGGATGGATGGATGGATGGATGGATGGATGGATGGATGGATGGATGGATGGATGGATGGATGGATAGATGGACAGATGGATTGATGGATAAATAGATGTATAATATATGGTTTCATAATGGACTATAAATGCATAGATAGATTGGTATTTGTCTATTTACCCATTCGTCCATCTAGATTGATAGATGGAGAGGAAATAGTTCATGGATGGGTGGAACATTTATGGATGGATAAATGAATAGCTATAGTATGGCTGGATAGATAGACAAATAAATTGATGGATGAAGGGATATGTGGAAGGATTGATCTTAATTTTTGGATTAATCTCTCCATCCCCCCACCTAAAAACAGATTGGATGGATGGCTGGATGAAATATTGAACTGGTGAATGGATAGATAGATGAAAAAATTGATGGATGAGTAAATGAGTAATATGATAGATGTATTAATAAATTAACAAATAATAGATAGACAATACATTTCAGATAATGATGAAATATGTTCAGATGTGTCTCTCAGCAGTAGATATTGCATTCTCTCAGAACCCCCTTCATCTCTCTCTCTCGCCCCGTCTTGTCGGCATGCAGTCCGTCGCCATGACAACACCTCAGGTCAGCTTGGAGAGGTGGGAGGTAGTTAGTGTGAATGTTTTATATGATTATTTTTTTTAGCTTGTTTTACTGGCCGTTTCTCTCTCAGTCTGCCTCTTTCGGCTCTCTGTGAGACAGCAGCTGTGTGTGACAGCTTCACTGGAGGCTGTAGGTTTCCTCAGTTTGCTTTAAATTGCCTAAAACAATGCAGTAAAGCGACTCGGCTCTCCCTCACAGCGTCTTTGTGGTCCGTCTCGCATCAAAAGATGGGGAGGGGGGGTCTGTGTCAGCGCCCCGTGTTTCTGTTAATGTGAAATGAATGCGTGCGTCTCGAGGGACAGAGCTAATATATGCACGACCATGAACCAGCACGTGTGATGTAGAGGTGCCAAGGGGGACGCCACCGAAAGCAGGTCCCTCTGTCACTCTTTCTGCTGATCTACAGCACGGCTTTGTGTTTGCACAGAGCCAATAATGTTGAGATATCCCAGCGGGCCATGGAACAACAGATTTTATTTTGTGTCTTTTTATTAACTTTTTTGGTGCATCTGTGAATCTTTTTTAATGTTCCTCTTTTAATGTTGGTATTATCATTTTTTTTTTTTTTTTGTATAGAGCGTCAACATCATTCTAAGTTGCTGACATCTGTCTGTAAGGAGAGGATCCGGTCATTTCATACCATCTAAACTGGTAAGATGTGGCTTTTTTAAAACATCCATGCAATTTAGCTTGATGCTTTTACTGCCTTTTTGATGTAGTTATTGTAATTCGGGGGTTGTTTCGCTTCAGACAGAGCGGGGAACAGTGTAGAGGCTTAAAAGGATGAAAAAGAATCGCTGATCAGTTTGAATTCATTACGATCCCTCCTCATTTCAGCTAAAAAGATCAACTAAAATGCTGTGACTGAAACTGAATGAGATTGGCATATTTGGCTGATTACACTCTGCTGTGTGCTGACAGATTGTTATCATGTTGAAAGCTGTGAATTGTGTCTGGTTGTTCTGTAGTTGGATGGTAGTTTGTAACTATTATACATTCTGTTGGATTAGTGGATCATTCATGTGAATTTGTTTAAATTGGATTGAGGATTTGATCTACTCATGACCCTCTGAGAAATATGTTTAAGGGCTGGGCCTTAACAAAAACAACACAATTCTTGACATTTCATTGGGACAACTTAACTTTTTTTATGTTCAATCGACATAAATTTGCTAAAAGTGTTAAGTTAACTTAATCGATGTTTGCTGATGATGTGACAATAAAAGTGATATGATTTGATTTGATTTGATTGGGACAACATGAATGAATTGTGTGGAACCCTGCATTTTATTTACAGTGTACATATGGCTCACTCATTTGCCAAAATGTAGTTATGTTTTCCAGTCAGGTCTCTTGGTTTGGGTTGCTAGTGAAGATGTACTCTTGGTCTTTGGTCATTTTGTATGTCTTTTATAGTGTAAGCTATAATGGATTCCATAAAGAAGTTATACAGTTTAAAGATTTAAATGCTTTGTTGTTATGTTGATATAACCTAATTGAATTTAGTGGTTTCTTTTGTGGAAAACTAATCATGTAAAATATTCATTGATAAATTGACATCAGAACTGATCAGTAAGTCTATTCCACCTATTTGGAACTTAACTGGATGATTATTTCTTTGGTTAACTGGATAAACTAAATACTGTTCAATTATTGGGAAAGCAAGCTAATACATTATTAAAAGGGTTTGTTTCTGCATTTGCTAAACAACATGCAGTGTGAAGGTGATGAAAACAAATATAGTAAATGTATTGTATTGACCTTATTCTCAAATGCGGAAGTGCGCCTGTTTTCGCGATTGTCTTAGAACTTCTGTTTCAGTCGCCTATGGGAGAAATGACAAGGAATAATAAATGGCAAAAAACGGTCAAACTACTTGCTCTACAAACAAATGTTTGCATGACTATACAGACCAAGTAGCATAATACAACAAGGAAATATCAGTTTGCAACATCAAACAACGAAACGAGCAATTTTTAATGTCTAACAATGAATGGAAGTGAATGAGACCGGAAGTCTCGAGCCAAAAAGATTCAAATGGCAGCTCCCGCTCGTCTGCGGAGAATAAGGTCAATAGGGCTTAATATATCATTTGAGCATCTATATCGCATTGTGTGTATCTGCAATAATAATAATAAAAAAATTATTTATACAATGATGACCATGTTATTTTACAATTGATAAATAATAATAATTATATCTTCTATTTTTGGGCGCCTTTCAAAGCACTCAAGGACACCTTACAGCAGATCACAAGCACATCATAAAAAATACAAGCAGTAAAAATAACAATCAGCATAATATTTAACCAGTAAACCATTAAAAGCTATCCTGAACAATAACGATTTTATCTAAGATTTAAAATTGGAAATGGAGTCCATCTGGCGAAAGTGCAAAGACAGGGAATTCCATAACTTTGGTGCTGTACGACGAAAAGCCCTGCCACCAAATGACTTCATCTTAAAGTTTGGAGCAGATAACAGTTCAGTAGAAGATGATCTCAGTGAGAGCAAAGGAGTGCGCAAATAAAGACGATTAGAAAGACAGTGATTGATTAAAAGATTGCTTAATTTCTGTACTTGAATATGGTTAGACCATACAGCACTGTTTATTTATTCATTTTTGCCTTGTTATTTATTATATTTTAACAATGCTATATTTTTATCATCCCAGTCGATCTAATTTAATGAAATCTTTCCAAATAGAGCTATTTAAATCATAAAGTGAACACTATACATGTGCAAGAAAAGGGATGAATTTAAAAGGCTAATAAAAACAAACACTAAACGTTCCCTGGTATGAGTAACAAGCACTCATCTGAACATGTTAATTGTATTACATTTACATCTATTAACTTCCTAAGTCCTTTTATGGTTATTGCTCTCATAAGACTGCTTGTGTTACATGGGTCATTTGTAAACTTACATTTAATGATGCATTAATTAATAAAATTTAGTATTTAGAGGGGTTTGGTCTTCTTTTTGGCCAACCTTATTGATTAGCTATCATTTTAAATTAAATTGAAAAGGGGATTTCTTATGTGATAAACAAGAATTAGTAATATATATTAAACAGGGTCTGTATTATGGGGTCTTAAACTGATTTAAGCCTGTTGTCTTTTGACCACTTCTTTAGGTTGAAAACACATGGTAAAATCAAAAGCACACATTCTTGGTCAGTACATGTGCTGAATCTGCAGATAAAGCCACATGCAGTATGCTGCTCTGTCATCTAAAGTGTTCAGTTTGGTCTCTGAGGACACAAACCGGTTGTCAGCAATGTTCTGCAACAAGTCACTTCCTGCGAAAAACCCAAATGGATCAATAAAGCCTTGCAGAATTATTTTCTTTGTATTTAATTCAAGAAAAAATATCTCAGGTTCTTTAAAAAGAACAATATGATGAACTTGCACCTTTAATTAGTCATCATATATAATATTTTTTTTATTTTTACCATATTTTAAAGGGGATAGTTTATACAAAAAATGCTGTTTGAGTTTCTTTCTTCTTTGGGAAACAAAAGCAGATATTTTGAAGAATGCTGGTAGTGTAGCTGACATCCATTGACTTCCATAGTAGAAAAAAGAAAAATACTATGGAAGTCAATGGGTGTCAGCTACTAGCATTTTTTAAAATATCTTCTTTTGTGTCCCACAGAAAAATAAACACTCAAACAGGATTTAAACAAGTTAAAGATGGATAAATAATGACATATTCTTTTCATTTTAGGGGTGAACTATCAACATACATACATACGACGAAAAACATACACTTGACTTCTTGCAGTCGGAATTTAGTTGATAGTGGTTCAAAGGGAGTGAAGTGCATGTTATGGCTTGAATATGTTTTACATGCTCCAGATGCTGTTTTTAAGATTGAACCTGAAGTGAATGAACTTGAGTGTGATTCTTCTCTAATGATGGTCCCTGCTGTGCTTAAACATTACTGAGAGCGTCTGGCCCAGTCAGAGCATGACATGCTCCAGAGCTCAGCTGTGTTTATGAGGAGGAGACCATGATCTTGTGCCTTGCTGTTGAGCACGATGAGGCTGTTTCTGTAAGGTATAATGTCATCAACATTTTGTGTGGACTGCCTGAGACTTACTTTGTGACATTTTTGAATTACAATCCTTCGGGCTGACCCAGAAATGAAAATGAAAAGTCTGAATGATTGAGTTTTTACTTAGCAAAATGTGCTGCTGTTATCTATTACAGTGTAGGCAAATTTTGTTTATTTGTTTGTTTGTTTATTTGTTAAGCACTTCTTAGTTTCGAGTTATTGGTTTTTTGGTCTTAATTAATATATATATATATATATATATATATATATATATATATATATATATATATATATATATATATATATATATATATATACATTTGTATAATGGAAAGAACATTTTCAACTACACTTTTAAGTTCACTCAATTTATAGTATATTTATCAGTCCATCATTTCCATCTCATAATCCTTCTAAACTTATTTCTCTATAATTTTCTTCCATCCATCCATCCATCCAGGTTAATTTGTTATTCATTCTTTTTCTAGGTGGATGGATGGATGGAGAGATTAATCCATATATAAATGGATTGATCCTTCCACATATCAATTAATTCACACAAAGTTGGTTAATTAAACCAAATTTTTAGTATTTTACAGTTTTTTTTATTTATTTATTTTCTTGATTTACCAGGGGTCACCATAGCGGAATGAACCGCCAAATATTTTACACATGCAGTTCTTTTTATTACTTTTATTAAAATAGTGTTTCCCCTAAGTAAATACATTTTTGCTTTATCAACACTTACTGTACACCAAACTTTATAGTTTTATTCGTCTTTATATCCTAAAGATTTTTACTGAGTGATATGCTAAATCTATAAATAAATTGATTGATAATATATTGTACAATCTCCAAATTATATAACGGTTAAAAAATAAACATAGAAAAATACGCTCAAACGTTAGCTGGTGTGAGGAACAAGCACTCATCTGAACATGTTAATTGTTTTACATTTACATCTACATCTTCCGAAGTCTTGTTAATCTCAGTATCCTGAAGATTTGTACAGAGTGATATGTTCATAGAGTACATAAAATAATTGATTATGTACAATATCTTATTTTACAATACAATTTATTTTTTTCTATCAGTTTTCAGTTTTTTAGTGTTGAGAAATTCCTAAAATCCCCTCTGTAAAAACCATAGACTTAACTGTCTAATAAATACATATAATAATAATAATAATAATAATAATAATAATAATAATAATAATAATAATAATACATAATAATAATAATAATAATAATAATAATAATAAAATAGAGAAACAAGATTTTTAAATCTGACTTCATCTAATGTTTCGATTTTTATGCTAGATAATTACACAAAGCTTAACTTGCTTCTTTAAATTTTTAGCATAAAGATCAAAACATTAGAATCGGGTTTAAAATTCAGTTTTTTTATTTTATTATTTTTATTATAATTCTAAATTTTTTTAGACAATTTAGTCTATGGTTTTTACAGAGGGGATTTTAGGAATCTCTCAATTTGCTTCCATAAATAAACAAAATATTTTAGAAAACATGCAGTCAACAATGCAGTCAATCAACCGTTTAAGTGTGGCAATAACTATTGGTTAACTTTTTAATC